GGCTGCACGTGCTCAACCACAGATAGCTGGCGCCAAGGCTGCGCATGCACAACAGGAGATAGGTGGCGCCAAGGCTGCGCACGCACAACAGGTGATAGGTGGAGCCACGGCTGCACACGCACAACAGGAGATAGGTGGCGCCAAGGCTGCGCACGCACAACAGGAGATAGCTGGCGCCAAGGCTGCACGTGCTCAACCACAGATAGGTGGAGCCAAGGCTGCGCACGCACAACAGGAGATAGGTGGAGCCAAGGCTGCGCACGCACAACAAGAGATAGGTGGAGCCACGGCTGCGCACGCACAAGAGGAGATAGGTGGCGCCAAGGCTGCGCACGCACAACAGGAGATAGGTGGCGCCAAGGCTGCACGTGCTCAACCACAGATAGGTGGAGCCAAGGCTGCGCATGCACAACAGGAGATAGCTGGCACCAAGGCTGCGCGTGCACAACAGGAGATAGCTGGAGCCAAGGCTGCGCGTGCTCAACCACAGGTAGGTGGAGCCAAGGCTGCGCGTGCACAACAGGAGATAGCTGGCGCCAAGGCTGCGCACGCACAACAGGAGATAGCTGGAGCCAAGGCTGCGCATGCTCAACCACAGGTAGGTGGAGCCAAGGCTGCGCGTGCACAACAGGAGATAGCTGGCGCCAAGGCTGCGCACGCACAACAGGAGATANACGTGCTCAACCACAGATAGGTGGAGCCAAGGCTGCGCACGCACAACAGGAGATAGCTGGAGCCAAGGCTGCGCACGCACAACAGGAGATAGCTGGCACCAAGGCTGCGCACGCACAACAGGAGATAGGTGGAGCCAAGGCTGCGCACGCACAACAGGAGATAGCTGGCACCAAGGCTGCGCACGCACAACAGGAGATAGCTGGCGCCAAGGCTGCGCACGCACAACAGGAGATAGGTGGAGCCAAGGCTGCACGTGCTCAACCACAGATAGGTGGAGCCAAGGCTGCACGTGCTCAACCACAGATAGGTGGAGCCAAGGCTGCACGTGCTCAACCACAGATAGGTGGAGCCAAGGCTGCGCACGCACAACAGGAGATAGGTGGAGCCACGGCTGCACGTGCTCAACCACAGATAGGTGGAGCCACGGCTGCACG